AGCTCTGAGAATGTGTTCACTAACATAAAGATCAATGGAAGGCAATGGCTTCTCTGGAGAGCTTAATAAAAACGCGCAAAGGAGAAAGACACAACGCTGTGAAGCTGAATAAAAAGATTAGCTTTCATGCTGTATGTACATGTACCATGATTTTACTTGCTCCCTGCATGCTTTCCTCTTTATTTTTCATAGTATCCACAGTGGCAGTCATAGGAATGAAGGCACATAGCTGTCCACATATGTGCATGTAGAACTCAGGGTCTTATTTTAAATAGTAAAAACCCTATGTATTTGTCATTTGTACAAAAGGGTTTTTTTGTATTAAGAGAACAAGCATATTATTTTTTAAAAATTACTTATTCCTACTCCCAAAATGTACTTGTTTTCAGAAGTATTTTTGTTTACCTCAGTTCTTCAGTAGTGTGATGATTTTCAATTTGTTTTTCAATTTGATGGATAACTTTTCTTTTGTTTTGCAACAAAAATAATATAAATAAAACAAAACAAAACAAAACAAAAAGCCAGAAAACTTGCTCAGTTCCAGGCAGTGTATCTTAAGAAATAGTATTGAAACAAGTATATTAATAGAGTGTGCATCCTCTCTTTGCCAGCTTTGCTTTCCCAGGTTCTCCCCTCACTGTAAAGCCCTTGTTTAAGTCTTCAGGCATTCTTTTCTTCATGAGCTCTCTTTCTGCATTTATGCAAAAAAAAAAAACCCAAAAAACCCAGAAATTGGAAGCCTCTGGTAATCCAGTAAGAAGCATGCCTACACATCATATATATATATATACACACACTAGGACAGACAGTGAGAAAAATAAAATTATGAAAGACAGTATGGCGATATTGACGATATGCATTCTCAAAGCACATGAAGACAGCAAATATATAGGGATATTTTTTACTGAGCTTCAGGGAATGCTCAAAGGCTAGAAGCAAACTTTCCATGATGAGGAGCCAGCAAAACCTGGGTAATGAAATATTCTCTTTCAAGGTTAACAGTGAACTCTCCCAAGGCTTAACATCCCTTCTGAGTGAAGAGTTCAAGACAGCCTTTCCAAACACAGCTGAACCTGTTTTCTGTCTGATGTTGAAGAGTGCAGGTAGGAACTCAGAAGTCCCATGCTTAAGAAACTGCTCGTAAAAAAACTATTTGATACCCTATCACCAATTGTGCCATAGGCAACATTATTCTCATCTACTAAGTAGACTGATTGTAGTTGAATAAAGTTGGTTGAAGACCAATCAGAAAATCTAATGGGACAACTATCTTCCCTTCATGTGGTTTTGATGAGTTTGGATAGCTCCAGAAACTTACAAGGCAGTAATAACAGGTTTTGTGTGTGTGTGTGAGAGAGCCTGGTGGGGAGTAGAGTTCATCTTAAGAGCCTACAGGTTTAGATAGCTTAATTCACAGAGTTGGTTATATGAACAATGATGTCTAATGAAATTTTATAGGTCTTATGAAATTTGAGTACTCCCCTGGAAGATGTAACGGGCCCTTATTTAGGGCAAGATCTGGGAAAGTGACATCACTACTATTTGCTTCTCAATTTATATGCCAAAACAAATCTGACCCCAAGCCATTTTGATTTCTTTTACATGTTCACTCCTTTATGCTCATCCAGAGTGTGAACTGTAATACAGCTGTAATGGAACAGACAGAACTTGTGCTTTTCATGACATGAATTTAGCTTCATTTCATGTAGCAAATGATGCTGACTGGGTTTACCTTTCTTGGCAAATGGAATATTAATGGTGACTTTATTTCTTAATGTCTGACTTGTGATTTCGTGGTTTCAACAAGCTGATACATTTATAAAAGAGTACAAACTGAACACTTAAGTGCAAATGATGTATTTATTATTTGTAGTTCATCTTTCTGTTTATACATTGTTAACAGCATGCAGATAAATTAGAATGCATTTTTTGTTCATTATTTAAAATTTTTGAAGCAATTTTGGAATAATGAAAAAGAATAGTATGTATTTGACATGTAAAATGTGTGATTGTTTACCTTTGTCATGAGATGCTGTTTCCCTTTTATGGTTTTGTAATTGTAACTTTTCCAGACAGGAGGGGAGAATGGGAGTATAGCCATGGGAACATTTTCAATAAAAGACTTCACATTACCACATTCATTGTGACATATCAATGAAGGAAATTACTTGCTGATTTTATCATAGAAAAAGTGATAGCTGGACACAGTAACAAATAATGTTTTTTTCTCTACATTTTCTCTATTTTCTTTATTTTCTTCTACATACATTATTAAAATCTTGGTGCAAAGCCTTTTCACAAACATCTGTTTCATAAAGGAGCTTGTTTTTGTGTATGTGTATTCCTTTACATAAAGGAGCTGGGGATGGTTTTTGTTTTGGTTTGGTTTTGGCTTGTTTGTTTGTTTTGTTGCCTTTTTTTGTGGCTTGATGTAAAAAATAAATTGTTTGGTGAAATGGCTTACATGTATCTTGAGGGTACCTCAGCTACACATCTTCAATGTAGGCAGAATAATAAAAATATCCATTGGAATGGGCATCATTGTAATTGCTCACTTAAAACCCCTCACAACATCTCATCATCTTTTATGCAGTTGGTATAAGTTACAAGGAATCTCATTCTCATCATTTCAGTTCTCATTTGTATCATCTCAGTTCTTATCATTTGCCATAAATTCCGTTTTGGTCATAAGTAGAATTTAATCTAAATATCTGTATATATTTTGTAAACACCTGTTAACATTAACAGAAATAATTTCGAATTCCTTCCAAAATGCATGTATTGTTCTATGCTTGCATAGATAAATAGATAATACTGAGAAGCCCCTTGACAGAGGTAAACATCAAGTACAGATGCAGCAGCATGGTAAAGCAACAGAATAAAAATTATGGTACACAGTAGAAACTGTGAACTGAATATATGCAGAAACACCATTATAGTCCTTGTTCTGGATTCCTGAGGTTCTGCTTGTGTCAGGGAAGAAAAGCAACAGAACTTTTAGTACCTCCTGTTTGTCATGCTTTCCTTTGAGGTGTGTTGCAAAAACACAGTGCATCCTAATTGCACCATAAAAAGGGAATTATTTATAAAAGGAAAGTTAGACCCTATGGATTGTGAGCCATTCACTTCCAAACTATAAAACAAACCAAATTAATCTAACAATTCCAAAGGGAGCTATATATTTTAACCAAAGTAGGGGAAGAAAAAAAAGCCCACAACTGTTTGATATAAAATGCGCAACACCATGTTAAGTAGCAAATGGTATGCTATTGAATAGCCGTTTCTAATTTATGAGGCAATGAGTAGGTGGCAATTAGACATAAAATTCAATATTTATATTTTTCTAGAATCTGAGTATAAATTGGTATCATTATGTGTTTCATTGTTTTCTACCAGGTCATTCAGAAAGAAGATCAAGCTAGCTCTTCTATTCTAAAATAATATAGAAATGGTCCCAGGTTTTTGTTGGGGTCAAAAAAAAATAGATAGCCTCATATTCAGAGATGTGAGGTCTCTTTTTGCTTTTGCTTTTATAAAAAGATATTTTCTGCCAAATTCCTACTGTGGAGAGATGTCTCTTGGTTACCTCAGTTTACAGTGTAGTTTACTAACCTCTGAGAAGTTATGCTTGACTAACATGAGTCAGGGGAGACAATTAATAGGCCTAATTAATTTTACTTCTTTTTTTGCTTTCAGTAACACCCCAGGAGGAAGCAGGGATCATTTATCTCAGCTAAACTTCCTTGCTTTCACTATAAGTGCACAGCTATCATTTACTGTCTGTAACCCTATAACTCGGTAGGAGGCAGGGTATAACTCTGCTACTCATCTGTAGAGGGACAGTGGTGGCAGGCAGCAAAATTGTGCCAGTTTCTGCTCAGCTGCTCTCCTGTGAATGGTAGAAAAGTCTTTCAGCAGAAAAGAGAGGAACTGGGGCAGAAGGAACTTGGATTTGAGAGGGGGAAGAAGAAGCTTTTGCTCTTTTATCTCCCACAGGGTAAGCCTTGCAGAGAGTTATATATCATTTCAGGAAACGGAATTGGACCAACTGTCCATCCCTGGCCATAACTACTGGCTGTTGAGTCTGAGTTTCAAATAGTTTATATTTTTTTGACATAATTTAAATAAAAATCTTCTCTGGCAATGTTTTCTCAGGAGCATACTTTAGGTCTTATTTTTTACCATATAGAGTTTTAGCAAAAAATACAGAATCAAGCATCCTTCACCTGTAATAAGAATAGTATCTGCTGTACTTTATGATATATTCATGGAATCACAGGTAGGTTAAGGCCAGAAGGGAATTCTGGAGGTCATCTGGCCTAACCCCTGCTCAAGCAAACATTTACCCTTAGACAAGGGCTAATGACCACAGAAACAAGAATCTTTTTGCCAGCTCAACAATCAATGGCTGACATGCACTATCAGAGACTTCCTCTCTCCATGCTGGCAGGGGAGAAGAGAACCCTGGATCACCATGTCCTCGACTGCCACCCCCACATCTCTGCAGTCACTTTGGATACTCTCCAACTTTTCTAGCACTGTCATTGGTGTCTACATTTAAGAACATCATGGAGTAATAGTCTTGGGGGTCAGGCAAGCTCTGGCAGTCACCCCAACACCCACATCCAGCTCCCAGCATGTTGCAAACTTCTGCAACAAGCTGGTTAGGTTGGCAGCAGTGCCGCTGTCTGCTGCTGCCACTGCTGCCTCATGGTGGCCTTAAGGAGGTCAGGGCCAGCTGGCCCAGACTTCACTTGAAAGCACAGACAGTTTCCTCAGCCTTGAGGGCAGTGCACCCGCACATCCTCTGTTCTGGCAGGGACAGCTGCTCCAATTCCTGCTGGGCAGTATGCCCTGTGGAACGTCACTACTATGCCCAAGAACATTTAGGCTTGTTTGAACTCGGAGAACGATCCCTTCTTCTGTCCAAGCTGCTGACATTGTGTGCTGTGATCTGAGCCTGACCCTTATTAAGGTTCTCCACAGCACCAGCTAAAAGTGTGCTTGACCCTCCCTTATTGTGGAGCGCCTGCAATAAAGGCTCCTAGTACCCTCAGCCAAGGGCAGCTGGTCAAGGTTTGAGGCTCCATTTCTTGTATCTCCTTGCTTAGACCAACAGCTGTCTCATTAGGTGGGTATTCTTATTTATTTAGGTCTTTTAAATCTCATTAAAGGTAAAAATTCTTCAAACTATAGTACTGTTACAGATGTGATCTCTGTGTTACTGATTAGTCTCCTTCCTGAAACCCTCAGAAGACTAATTGCTGCTCACTGCTCTCTGTATGTTCTTCCATGTGTTCACCCCAGATGGCCAATTGATCTAATTTGATATCTGAGGCAACCATAACTTCTTGTGGCCTGGCAGATATTAACTTTCACAGTAGCACGATTACAGATCCCTCCTTTCTGGATTGCATTTCAGCTCCAGGGGAAGGCAGACAGATCCTGCTGCCCAGCCCAAGGTGAAGACTGATGTGTGCAGCCACTGACAGTGAGTACTTTGTCTACAGGGAGGGGGAAACCATGCTGCTTTTCATTGATGCTACTCTTCCTCATTGTGAGAAGAAAGGGTTGAAATCTTCTGATAAACATTTGGATTTAGAAACCTGCTACTTGTGATTGAAGTCTTGGTTTTGATTGTACAAGTTTTACATCAGCTTTAAAGACATAGAGGGTTTATTTATGATGAATCCCAGCTGAGAGCTAATGACATTAAAGGATTTTGGTTCTTGATTTTTCTAAAGACTATTCAGATTAGGTAAAATATTTAAATAAAACTTCACAGATGTTACTTTTCAAAAAGGAAAGCCAGTTTTCAGTTTGTAGAAGCATCTATTAGAACTAATTTTGTGTATAACCCACTGTACAAAAACCTTTTTGCTGCAAAGTGTATTTCTTCCAGAGACAAAATTTCCCCTAAAATGCTGCTACAGGTAATGTTCATAACTTTTATCTTTAATTGCTGCTTTAAGTGGCAACTGCATTGGAAAGAACCCAAATGTCCTTTGAAACAGATTAAAGTTTAATTGTAGAGGGAAGAGTAGAATTAATAAATGCCCAGCTGTGTTTCTTGATCTCTTTTTTGGCTTGTAAGTTAGAAAAGATAAAAAGAGGCAATCACTCTTTAAGCATATAATTAATTTAAATATTGGAATAACTTAGCATTCATTAATGCATCTCTCTTTTACCTCCTCATTTTACGTCTTTGTTTATCTTATTAAAAAATGTGTGCAGTCTGTTGATTTCATCTATGTCCAGTGTGTTGCTGAAAAGGAAAGAAAACAATTTTAGTTTTGCCATTAGTAAAACAAATACACTGAAATTTGTATGCTGGCTTTTGCTTTTGTGGACAAAGGCATTTTGATTTTTAAGGAAAATATCAGTGGCTAATGATATCTAGCCTCTTTGACTTACACTGGTGGTGATGTCTTCATTCGTCAGAACAAATGATAAATCTCCCCTTGCTGCAGAACATTGTTGTGCTTTCTCAACCAGCCATTTTAATTTTCAGGTTGACAGCCAGTCAAAAAGAATCCATTATGGATAATCAAAGCTCATTTGAGATAGTCTTTGCCCCTAAAATGATGAGCTGAACTAGCTAGAAGTAAGAGGAAAGGTATTTGTGCTGTAATACACTGTTTTGGGTGACTCCTGGTTGTCACTCCACATGCTGACCCATACCTGGGTCTTCCCTGCACTGCTGACCTCAACCTCTTTATCCACTTTGTCAAGTCAAGACAGAGATCCTGTCCTACACAGTGTGGATGGGTGAGAGAAGGGTTCACCAGCATGGTTTGGGACTTACTGTGACTAAGCAACATTCCCATTTAGCATTTCAGTTCTGCCAAGGCAGGGTACGTGACAGACTTTTATTCTTGGGCATAGACACAGCCTCTGTGAGTTTCCTTGGGTTGGTCTGGGAAAAAAAAAAACCCTCTGATTGCCTGCATGCCAGTGTGCCCTGGACCTGAAATTATTAGAGATTAATCAATACCAATAATTACCAAGGAATTCCTCTGTGATTTAAGGCTTGCTAGTTTTGCAGTGAGACTTTTCAGATACAGGTTGTAAATGTGGCACCATAGATAGCACTTTGCAAATTCACATTGGTTCTGAAGTTTATGACAAGGATCACAGCAGCTCTACCAAGACAAGAATTAGAGTAGGTACTGCAGTGAGGAGATAGAGGTTCTACAACTACTCCATGAAATAAAGATGCTAATGCATGGGTCTGACCTGGGGTTTTAAGTAGCCTGGGGCTCCCCACACAATCTGCATGTGGGTTGCCAACCTGTGTCATCTTGGAGTAAAGTGAGAAAATCTGTTACCTTCAGTTGAGTCTTCTAGGGACACAAAAAAGAAAAACTCTTTATCAGGATGAATCTCATATATGTGCATAAACATACATATGTATGTGCATGCATATATTTTGTGTGTATTTTTATATATATATATATATATATATATATATATATATATATATATATAATACACATACATATGTCTGTATGCATTTTCCTTAGAAAAAAGACATCCTCTTGGTGGCCTGTTGGTTAGGTCACACAGTTCAAATTAAAAGACAAGGTCAAGTCCTTGCCCTGAACCAGACAGGTTGTCCACAGGGTAATGATTTTACATTTCTGCAATTTCACAGTTTTCATGCCAGTGTAAGAACCAGACCAGGTCATTCAGGAGGATGTGGAGGCTTCTGTACACAGCATGCGCTAAGAGCTAACACTGCCCTCCTCTCAATACTGCAATATTTCCTTTGTTAGTTCTGCTTCTTTACATGGAAAGAAACAATAATATTTTCTTTTTAACTGTAGACTTACAGCTACATTTTAAATCTTACAGTACCTCACAATATCATTATAAAAGGATATTGCTTTTTTCATAAACCAGATTTAATTCCTTTTTGTTTGTAAGACGATACTGCATGTCCTTGTCTAACAAGAACAGCGTGATTCCTTGGAAAAAGGTAATTTGAAATATTTTGCTAACAGGATGGTTATGATTTTTCTTGTTTGCACTGTTTTGTGGTCCAAACTTTTAACAGTATTTTTCTCTATGTGGAATTATTTTCAAAAATATTTTTGTAGCTTATACACTTCAACTGATTCTGTTAAGAACAATCATAGAAAATTGTATTTATTTCCTCATGGTCATTTCCCCAGTCTCAAAATGAGGTGTTCCTCACTCCAGGTGTCCATGTGAAAAAATGCAAACAAAAAAAAATGAAAAGATGAATTCTCACTTGACAATACCTGTTTTATATTTTCTTAAAGTGCAATCTTTAGCGATGTCAATGGAGAAAAAGAAGAATGACGTTCAGGTTGTTGTTTTAAGATTTTATTTTATCTTCATTAAGGGAATAAATATTCTGTGTTTACTTCTATCTATCTGCTTTTGGTTTAGGCATTCTGTTTTTTCTGTTTCTCACATTCTGAATGAGCTTTTAGTGTGAGTTTGTTAAGTGCAGGCAGAAATAAATGGTTGATTTGTAAGCAAAATGCTATCCTGCAACTTAATCTGTTATTCCAACAACAACAACAAAAAAATTCTTCCTCTCTTACATTGCCAAGTCTAGAAAGCCTTATTGCAGAGAGTCTGTAAAGCCTGTATACAGAAAGGTTTGTAAATTGAGTAGTGTGGTAAAATGCCATCTTCTAACATTAGCAAACCCCACAGCAATGTTTTCTGTGTGCAATGGTAATGACTTAATGCAGCAATTGCACTAAGCTGCTCTGGTGGATTCAGCAAGTCCTGGAGTTTTCAATCTTCAACCAAGAGTTTTGCAATCTCTGTGAGTTCAATATTTCAACAATAAAGATCCTTGATAATGTCTGTGCATTAACAACACACACTCTTATCCAGTGTCAGGTATGGTATATGCAATAGAAGGTGGTATGGTTGGTGAAGGCTGGGCAAAACACTTGTTTTTCCCTCTGGAAACTTTGGCAAAGCTAAAGGATAAAATTATGTTTGCCAAAAATCTTCTCAGAGAACCCAAAATCTTATTTTTATAATGTTTTTGGCCTTTCATTAAATGAAAGCACTTTTCTGTACCACTCACTGTCCTTGTGATGGACAGCTGGACAACAGCTTCTATACGGCTGGGTGGCACCACAAGAGGTATGTGTGGGAGGGGGTGCGGCTGATGGCCCCCTTGCTTTGCCTTGGGAGGCAACTGACGTTTAGTTTCCCGCCTCCCCCGGTTGTCAGTCTTTTGTTATCCCGTCCCCCTGTTCCTGTCTATCATTATGTACTCCTTCCCCCAGTTCTGGAAAGTTCTAAATTCTCTGTATCCCCATTGGTTCTCCCCCTGAAGCCACTCCTTCCCCTTGTCCCAGTTGGCTGTTGCCCTGTCGCTCTTCCCTGACTCCGCCCCCAAGCCCTCACCTCGTTGGTTGTTTCGTACCCTGACCCTCCTTCCTGGTTGCTGTTATAATCCCTGCCCCGCCCCTAGTTCGGGGCTCTTGGAGCTGGCTACCCTTCCGAGCAGTTGCTTCCCTTCATCTCTCACCTCTCTCTCCTTCACTTGAACCCTTGGAAATAAATCCACCCGTGAGTCACCCGCCTTTGGTTGAAGCTTGCTATTTCTTCAACAATCCAGCGCCTGCGGACCGGACCATAGTGGTTCCAAGACCCAGGCGCCTCAAGTATGCACTCTCAGTCTTCTCCTATAAGAAATAGTAGGGCCATACCATAAATGAATGGTTATTTGTACAGCAGTTCTGTGCAAAACTTTTGGGGTGCTGGAACTATTAGTCAACATATTGAAGAATCAACCAGAAATAAAATATGTGGGTTAACAATGGACAGTGGGAATCCTCAGTGGGAAGTCTTGGCAAGGCTGAACTGTGATCTCAAAGTAGTGGTGGCATGCTTACATAAATTTAGAGTTATCCTTGTCCCAGAGCCTTGATATAACATAGAAAAGAAGTTCCGTGGGGATCCAGCTTGTTTTCCCAGTTTTAAAATTGTGTAGCTTTGGGTTGTTATACGAAAACTGGAAAGCTCAGGCATTTAAAATGTAGAACAAAATTTGTAGAGCCTTTCAACTGTAAGTTATAAGTGGAACTTCATTTACTTATTTAAGGTCAAAGGTGATCAGAACAAAAGAACGAATTTTATACAGGAAAAAAACATGCTAATGTGCCTGGTTTCATGAAAAGAGATTAATTTCCTGAACTGACACATGGAGCAGAGTCAGTCAGCATACACAAATTTGTAAGTGGGAGGTGGTGGTGGTGGTGGTGCAGAAAGCAAAGAAAAAAACCTGTGGAGACTCTTCTTCTCTTCTTGGTGGTAAGTCCAATATTATCTCTGTGAAAAGAATTAACATTTGGTGATATTCAATAATATTTCACACTAAAGCAAATCTGAGTGATTCACAGCCATTTCTTCTTCACATTCATGGAAGGATATTTTTAGTAAATGCTTCAAAAATTTACTTTGAAAACTTACAGAGAAAATTGAATAAGATTTTCT